TACCCTCTTTCCTGTGTGTCTTTATTGCTCTTATTGCTTATTACTCAGTTTCTCTTTTTGCCCCGGGTGGAGGTCTGTCCAGGAGGCTATGCTGCTCTGGCCCAGGCTTGTCTGTGGGGCTACCGCAGTACCGCGAAGCTCACCTGGTCCGCGTCTTCCCAAGCCGTCTGGGCGCTGGCGACTGGCGCCCCGGGGGCCCTCCTTGTTTCTCCATTTAACATGAAGTGGAGATTCTCTCCGCCGGCTGGAGGTGTGGAGGGGCCAAAGTTATGCCTCTTCTCAGTGATTATGCCTGCATAGTGTGTTTCCAGCATCTCTCCAAGATTTCACTATAGGAGGCTCGCTTTCTGCTTCCTCCCTCTAGTATTCGGCAGTTCCTTATAGACACCATGCCCCCAACTCTTTTCACTTTTTTGATGGAATTGTTTAAAACACAAAAGTGTAACTTTGATGAAGTCGGATTTCACTACTTCTTTCATTACTCATGCTTTTGGTGTCATATCTTAGAGATGAGATATAACAAGATCATAAAGATTTACCTCTGTTTTCTTCTGATTCTGATTAGTCTTAGTTACCAGAACTTATCCCTGATATACCTCCAGTGATTACGTACAGTTAGGAACCATTTTCTAATGGGTTAGATAATTCATTAGGATTCAGTAGGGAATTTCAAGTCAAATAAAACATCAGCCTTTTCTTTCAATTCAGAAGGGTAAAACAAAACTTTTGGAAGCACCACAAGTAGGTTTGGAAAACAGAAACATTCTTCCATACACTGAAGACATAGCTTTTTGTAACTGAGAGCCACCTTAATACAATTTAGCTTTTCTGTCCAATTACTATGAAGACAACCTCTCTCAAAAGAAGACATACTGTGAGAATCAACTAAAGTCAGGTCTTTTCTGTCAAAGGAATTAATGTATAACTATCATTGTGTAGATGCCAGCTAACCTCTCTGAATTGTTGTTTACGTTTTGTGAAACCTTGCTTGACCTTGCAAGGTTCTTATGGTCAAACAAAGAGCTGTTTATCACCAGATGTCCTAATCTCAAACTGCTTGCTTAAAGATGAGTATTGCCCAAAAGAATTTTCTTGTTCTCCTTGCTTCAAGGTCCCTTACCCCACATGCTCCCTTTCTAAGTAACCAATTGCAAAGATTGTGAACCCAAACCCATCCATTAGGATGAGGCACAGAGAGAGATAAAAACTGACCTGACTCCACTCTCAGTGTGTTCTGCCTATCAGACTATGGTCTGTGGCTGCAGCCTCTGCAGAAGTAAAACTTTCCTTTTTGCCTTGTAAGCAACTCCTGCATGTTTCTTTGATCAACATTTGGGAACGGCATTTCTAATCATACTCATCATCAACAGGTACATGAAGAAATGTTCAATATTGCCCTGCATAGTGGTGTACACCTTAATCCCAGTTACCAGCTGCTTTCAGGAAGCACAGACAGGAGGATCGCAAGCTTGAGGCCAACCTAAGCAAGTTGCAAGATTCTATCTCAACAACATTAAGTGGCTGGAGGCATAGCTCAGGTGGTAAGAGAACTTGCCAAGAATGTCAAGACCCTGCGTTCAAGCCCCAATATTGAAAAAATAAATAAACTTCAGTATCACTAATCATCAGGGAAATGAAAACTGAAACCACAATTAGATGTCACTTAATACTAGTTAGAATCGTTAATATCAAGAAGATGCAAGACGACAAGCAACGGTGAGGATGGAGAAAAGAGAACTCTTCCATACTGGGTAGAAATAAAAATTAACATAGCTATCAAGGAAAGCACTATGGAGTTTCCTAAAAATAATAGAATTACTGTATGACCTAGCAATCCCACTATGGGGTGTGTATTCAAATTGTATTAAATCAGCATGTCAAAGAGATACCTGTGTTCCTATGTTAATTGCAGCATTATTCACAACCGCCAAGATATGGAATCAACTGGTGTCCATTCACAAATGAAATGGATAAAAAAAAAAATGTAAACTAGGTTTGGGGGTGGGAGGGATAAAAGAGAATGGTGAAGGGAATGAATTCAAGTATGATATATTTGATATATTGTAAGAACCTTTGTAAATACCACAATATACCCCCACCCCACACAATAAAAACATTTTAAAAATATATACCAATACATGGCCTTAAAAAAGAAGGAAACCTTATCATTTGTAACAACATGGATGAACCTGGAGGATGTTAAGTGAAATAAGCCAGTACCTTATGATCTTATATGTAACATCTTAAAAATTGAACTCACAGCAGAATAGAATGATGCACAAAAACACTTGTACACAAATGGGGGTGTGGCTCAAATGATAAGACTGCAAGGCTGAGTTCAAATCCCAGTACCACCAAAAAATGTTCATAGAACATTATTCATAATCAGAAAACAGAAACAACCCAAATGTTAACTGATGAATAAATGCTGTGTGGGACATTCATGCAGTAGAGTATTATTTGGCAATAAAAAATTAAGTATTCATGAATGCTGTATGAATGAACCTTGAGAACAGCCAAAGTTGAAGAAGTCAGCTGCTAAAAACCACATAAAGTATGACTTCATTTGTGAATGGCCAAAAAAGGCAAAGAGAAACAACAGGAAGTGGTTGTTTCTGCCTAGGGTCAGGGAGTTGAGGAGTGAAAAGTGAATGATTAATGATAATAAAAATGTTCTGGAAACAGGTGGAGTGGAAGGTTTTAGTAAATACCTCAAAGTCACTGAATTGATCATCTCAAATGGGTGAATGGTAGGGAAGGTGGAGTGTATGTCAAAGCTGTTAAAATTGCTCAGTAAAGCTGTCTAATGTTTTCTCCAAACATTAAACTGTCAGGAGCATGCACACAGTATGTGATTAAAGTGGTACTCCTTCCTTTTTCTTGCTAAACTGTTAGATACCATCAAAAACTTTACAACTAGCATTTTAATGTGAATCATTTAATAATAATTGGGTGGCAAGGACAAGGTATTATTAGCAATCAGTTCTCTACCTTTCTATTCTTGGTAAAGGAAGATTATCAAGGCAAGCAATTCTGTTGCCAATTCCTATTATTAGCCAACTACTACAGTGTAAGAGATACATACAAAGAGAAATACTGCTATATGGTTAGTAATTCTAATGTGGAAATTTGGTGTATGACTTAGTCATGTGCCACATAAAGATGCTCTGGTCACCCACAGACAGTATATATGGAAGTCTCGTAAGACTTCATCATTAGTGATGGTGTAGCTGTTTGTGTAAATATTCTATTTACACAACAAAATTACTTAAGGATGCATTTTGCAGAATGCATTTCTGTCGTTCAGCAATACTCAACTACACAGGGTCGTTAAAAAATTGCCAATTACTGTAGGTACCAAATAAATAATTTTAAGTGTATTCTGTTTTTAAGGGAAAGTCATTAATAACAATACATGTAGAAATAACTTTAAAAAGTCTGAAACACCAGCTAAGCAGAGTGGTTCAAGCCTATCATCTTAGCTACTTGGGAGGAGAATAAGAGGATCAAGGTTTGAGACAAGACCCCTTCTCAACCAATGGCTGGGTGTGGTGGTTCATGCTTGTCATCCCCAACTATGCAGAGAGACACAAATAGGTCTAGGCCAGCCAGGACACAAAGTGAGACCCTATCTCAAAAATAACCAACACAAAAAGGTCTGTCGGAGTGGCTCAAGTGGTAGAGTGCCTGCCTTACAAGTGGGAGGCCCAGAGTTCAACCTCCAGTATCACCAAAAGTAAATAAAAATAACCTTGAAGCACCCAACACAAATGCTATTTTCTGTAACAAAATCACCTGAGACTGGAGAGTTCTGAAACCAGTGGTTTATTTTAGCTCACAGTTTTTGAGGCTGTGAACTCTGAGACCAGGCAGCCACATCTGCACGTGCTGCTTCAGCTCATGGCAGAAAGCAGAAGACTAAGTGGGCAAGTGTGCAAGAGACAAAACATAAGGAGCAGCCTCACTTTGTAACAGCCTACTCTGGCAGTAATAAATCCAAGCCTGCAAGTGGGAGGACTCACATGAGCAAGGCATTAACACATTCATAAGGGCTCCACCCACATGACCCAAACCCCTCCCTCTAGGCACCACCCCCCAACACAGTCATACTGGGAACCAAGCCTCAACATGAGTTTTGGTGGGGACAAATGTGCAAATACTATAGAGCTCACCTAACAAGCACTTCAGTGTTAAGTGAATCTAAACTAACTTAGCCTTAAAGGCTTTAAAAAGAAAAAAAAAAAACTACCAATAAACCTAAGTTTTATATATTTTCATCCAAAATTTCACCATTAAATTTTACTCCTAATAAAATGTATAGCAGTCTAATACATGTGGATGTGTAGAGTAATAATTACTTCTACATTGTTTAAAGTTACATTTGAGAACAAAATTAGTACCAGAGAGAAAGAAGACTGTAGATCAAATACTGGGAACTCCTAAGAATCTAAAGGAATATAATTTAATAGTACTTACTTATCTTATGCACTTGAATTAAAGGTATGAATTTCTGTAGTAAGGAATACTCAGTATTTTCCCTCTATACCTATAGAATCTTACTTCCTTTACACCAATTGTCACCAATTTGGTTACTGTACTGATAAAGAAAATTTCTTTACTTTGTTTTTTTTTTTTTTTTTCAGGTGTAACTTTTACTTTGTTATATATGCTGGTTAAAGTAAATTTGGTTAATGTACAGGTAAAATTAACTTTTATTCTAGAGGAACATCATGAAAATTCAGCACCAAAATCATTTCAGGTTTTGAGCATTAAAAATTAAAGAAAAATTCTGGAAGAAAATACATCTTGGATTCTATTTGCATGTAATTCCATGAAAAGGGAATTTATTCACTATTCTACACCTAGTGCCTAGAGCAACCCCTGACACAAGGCACTCAAGACAGTTGAAAAATGAGGCAAAATATGAATATTATCTTCTCCTTAGCAAAGGGGAAAAAGCTTCAAGTCACAATATAGAGAAAACAGGAAATAAGTTGTAAAGTAATTTTTATTGCAGAAACAGTCAATGGAGGTGGACAATGCAAATGTCATCTCAGAACACTTCCCCTTGGTTCCTGAATTTACTAGGCTCCCTAGGTACCTTATGGTCCTTCTAAGATATGTTGATTGATTATATGTACACATTACTTAGAAACAAGAAAATTCATCTGGTATTAAAACCAATCAAAAATTTAAAATCCACAAGTCTGAGTTCTGTTGGCTTATCATTGGCTCAGGGAGACCTATTCATCTTAGATGCTTTCAAAATTTAACAGTAAATAAAATTAGTGCCTTTAACAGTAAAAGAATCCTCCATCACATTGAATCAAACCTCTTATGATATTTGCAGTATATCCAAATTTAACATTTTTTTAAATTTAGAGCTTAAAACTCTACACTTGATTTTCTGTATTTGAAAGACTTCTATTTGCAGCTTACAAATGGAAAGACTAGTGCAAAATGCATTACATTTTATATGATAAATATACTTCCGACCTAATGGCTGCCTCAACAGCAGAGTGAAAAATTACCTCTTAAAAGCAATCTAGACTGGCTTAAAGATCATATTTTAGAAATATCAATGGTTACCCTATTTCCATATATTGCAAAATTATTTCAGAAACAGATTACAAAAATAGAAATTGGGGCTTTACAAAACTTTATAAAATATAACACCATTTGTAAACTCAGGAAAGTTTCACACTGGAATAGACAATACTTCCAAAGATATGAAGTCTAGTCAAATTTAGAAGTGGTTTGCCTCGACCATTCTTATATGGTATTTCTTCCAAACTTCAAGCCTAAGTAGATCTGTGCTCTACTGTGGGATTTTTTTTAGAGATTGTTTATTTTCAAGAGTATTATAAGGTTTTTCATTCTAGAAATGTTAAAACAGATGAATTTATATTTTCAAAATGCCTTACTAAAAAGTAGAAGCTAATGCAATGACATTTCTAAACATTGATAAATTTCAAACCAAATTCCAAAAATGGCAACCTATAATTTAAAATACGTATCTGACAATTATAACTTGGTGCCTGTAACATGTAAAAATAAAAATCACAACTATTTTATGAAAAATATTTATTCATAGAATGAATATACTTCTAAATTTAGTTATTTGTAGCTGTCAGATAAGAAATATTCCTAATTATACCCATTCATTAATACTCTTTCTATCACCTTAAAGAGCACCAGTGTATTTTGTAAATAAACCAAAAAGTGAGAAGGTAGGGGCTTATAGTTCATTGTAACAGTGCTATTACAATAAGGCACCACTTGGTATATGAAAAGTGAAACAAAGTATTTCCAAATCATGTTCTGTCATTGGTGTTAACCACTACATAGGATGGCTAAGGAAAAAAAAGCTAATATTAATTAATCACATTATACTCTTGTTCCCATCGTTCTGTGCTTTTAGTTTTTCCATGTAACAGAAAAAGAAATGTAGTACATTATCTGTTAAATAAACGTTTCCCCCAACATCCCAAGAAAATAATGTAGAAATAAACAAAAATAAGAAACCAAACATTTATCTCATATATTTGCAACAGTCTCTCCCAGTAAGAGTACAGAGGAGGGGCAGAAGGCAGGGCTGGGTCCTGGGGGGATCTACTGTCTACAGAATACATTGAGGCACATAGGTTCAAAGTTTCTCAGGCAAATTCATGGCTAGAGCAAAACTGATAGAGCTCAGAATTTTACATTTCCCACAAAGCTGATTTCTCAGATAGTGACATCCAATTAAATATTTCAAAGTGTGTTCTTAGTCACTGCTATCATCATCGTCATCATCATCAGAGACATCATTTAAAGGAGACTTCAATGGCTGACTGTAAGAGTCTGATCTAGTAGGCTGGCACGTGGCCATGTCCCCAGTGGAAAGCAGGTCATAGCAGAAGTCACAAATCCGCACAGGCTTAGAAGACTGGCTGGGAAGAAGAAATCTCTTTTCAGAGCAGGGCCCACAAACAACAAAACCGCACTTGCGGCAATGGTGACGACGATTGACAGGTGTGAATTTTGCTTTCTGACAGCGCATGCACACAGTTGCCTCAGAGTCAGGAACCCAGACAGCAGCATGTTCATTACTTGGTGTCTTCCCACTTTTGGAGAGTAAATCGGTAACACATTTATTTATGTGATTCATCCATTCTGACTTCTCAGTGGCAGTGGCAGCATAAACTGCAAATGACTTAGTTGGTGTCTTAATAAGCCAGCCATTCCTTAATTCTCCTTCATCTTTGATGGAATCAATAGTGACATTTTCCAGGGGAATAATATGTTGTTTGTTGTATTTTTTCTTCTGGATGACAATATTGCCATATACAAGAATGTCATTAAATAAGAAAAACTGCCTTGCTTTAGGCTTCTTTCTGCACAGCTTAGTCAATACTCCTTCTCCAATAAGAACTCGTCCAGGTATGGTTAAGGTTGACCAGCTGCTCCAAAACAGTTTTCCACTATACTTATACGTCTAGTATTTGCTTCGCTGTTTGCCAAGCGATCCACCATCTTTTGCTATTAGCCTTAAAAAACAAAGCAAAAAAAGAAATCAGCACATAGAAATTATAAATTCATATAAGGTAGCAAGTTATATTAACCTAAATTTAATCTAATGAATCACTGCTTTTTACAAAGACAAAATACTCCAATATTCTTGCCCCTAACACAATCACTATGTACACCAAAAGGGGATCTCTCAGTACCTGTAATCATCAAAAACACTAACCATCTCCATGTAGCACCTTACTTTTTAAAAGTAATTATAGTTAGCAGCTATTGTAGTAGTAACTATATGAAAGTTAAGTAACTATAAAGTATATAACCTTCTTGTAATCATAAAGGAATGAAACAAACTAGACAATTAACATAAGTTAATTCTCAGCACAATAAACCCAGTTCCATAAAATTTAATCTCCATGGGATTCTGAAGAACAAAAGGACAAATATTATATACAAACTATGAAAAATTACTACCATTTTCCTTATAAGCTATTACCGCTAAACTAGGCTTTAATTCTCACACCTGGATTCCCCAACTTCTTCTCAATTTGTCTCCTTGCCCTTTAAAGCAATCCTTAAGCCACGATCTCTAAAATGCAAATTGGACCCTGACATTGCTCAAAATGATTCCCCTTAACCTTTAAAACACAAGTCCTGCCAGGCACGTGGCTCACACATATAACTGTAGATATTTGGAAGGCTGAGATCAGGAGGATTGCAAATAGTTTGTGAGACCCCATCTCCAGAACAACCAGAGCAAAATGGACTGGAGGTAGAGCACCTGGTAGAGCCCTGACATTGTAAGCGTGAAGTCCTGAGTTCACACCCCAGTCCTACCTAAATAAACAAACAACAAAAAAACGTAAAACCTACAGCAGAGTGTTCAAGCCCCTTCATTACCTGGTTCTCTTTTTCTTTTTCAAGACAAGGTTTCACTATGTAACCCAGGCTGGCCTTGAACTTGAGATCCTCCATCTCACTCTGCTGAGATTACAGGCACACACCACTATACCCAGCTATTATCCAGTTCTTGCTAATCTCAGCCTCACCATAAATCATTCCTCACCTCAAACCCTGTATTTTAAAAACACCCTACTACTTGTAGTCCATTTCACTGTTGTTGCCTTCACTACACAGAACTCCAGCTAACTCTTACTCATCTCTCAAGACTCAAGTCAGGTTGTCTCTCCTCTAGGAAGTCTCAAATTCTCATACTAGACAAATTCCTTAAACTCCCATACTAGACATAAAACCTTCTTCCTCAGTGTTCATTATATTCCACATATCTTCTAACTTCACTTTTATCAAAGGACTGAAATCTGTCTCCTCCACAGACTTCAGTAAAACTTAAAAGAGATTATCTGATAGCCAGCCATCTTTGAAACTGACATGGGCTAACACACCAAAGGTATGCCAAAAAATCCTATTTATCTAAAGATCATAGATTTAGTCTCTGGATTAAATACTGGTTTCACTGAAATCCCTATTGACTTTACCCAAGTACCATATTTCAAACCTACTAACTTAATCCTACTATACTAACAAAACATCGTAAAGAAAAACAAAGTTGAGAATAGGAATGTTAAAAAAGTATAAAGTCCAACACAGCATGGTCTAAGGTTTGGTCTTCACTGCACAAACTGATGATACTAGAACTGTTCTTTGCCTTCATTATAAAGCACACTACAATTCTAGTTATTTCTGCACTCTGCCTCTCCTTCAATCTTGGGTCCCTATTTTGTCTTCAATAAGGATGGGCTCTTGCAGGCCTGAAAGTTGTTTCAAAGAATTAATACCAAGCCAAGCAAGTTAGCTCACGTCTGCAATTCCAGCTACTGAGGAAGAGATCAGGAGGATTGCGGTTCAAGGTCTAGACAAAAAGTTATCGAGACCCTCATCTCAACAAAATAAGTCAAGAATGGTGGCATGCACCTCTCTTTCATCAAGCATCTTTCATTCGTGGGTAGGAGGATCACTGTCTGGCTGAGCAAAAAGTGAGACTTTATCTGAAAAACCTAAAAACAAAAAAGGCTAGAGGTATGGCTCAACTAATAAAGCACATAATCATTGTTACTCATTAGAAAACTACATAGCATACTATCAACAATAGTGACATATCTCTGGAAAATATGATTATTGGTAATTTTTTCTTATTTTATATTCAAATATTCAACAAGTATTTTTCAGGCATCAATCTAGGTGCAGGCAAAATAATAAACTATACAAACCAGTTCCCTGTTCTTCAAGCTTTAGATTCTAGTTGGGGAGTGGGAAGAAAAACCAAAATTGAGAACCAAACAGTATTAATTCCCTGATTTAATTTTATTTTTTGAGACGGAGTCTATGTAGCCCAAGGCTGGCCTTGAACTAGCAATCCTCCTGCCTCAGTACTCTAAAGTGCGTAACATCACACCCAGCTCAATGCCATGATTTTTTAAAAAGTGATTTTAAACAGATCAACTGGGAAACACTCAAACTCTGTGGTCAGGAAAGGTCTTTTTGGTTTTTTTTGGCAGCACTGGGGCTTGAACTCAAGGCCTCACACTTGCTAGGCAGGAGCTCTACCATTTAAGCCACTCCACTAGCCCGCAGGAAAGGTCTTTCTAAGGTGGTGTCCTTTTAGCTACTAAGATACTAGTAGGTACCAGATAGCAAAGGTGGGAAGAGGGGAGAATATACCAGGCAAAAAATATAACTGCAAAAGTAGGAAATAAGTTAGTCACTTTTAAAGAACTGAAGTATCTGTTTATCCCTATCTGAATCAGCTACTGATTCTACCCACTTGGACACAGTAATCTTCCCCTGTACAATGCAAACAGGTTTCCTATTACTGCTATTAGTGGAGTTAATACCACCATAGTGTTTTTCCATTATGTTCTCAATGTCACTGTCTTAAACCCCTGTAAGTGACTAGAGAAGGTTTTATGATCCCCTAGGGAAACATCTAATAATATCATCTAAAATACGAGCTGAGGGAGAAATAAAGGCACAAAGAGACTCAGTAATTTAAGAGGCAAAACTTCGCCTGGAATTAACTTGACTCACTGAGAGAGCAACACACTGAACACTTTGTACTTACTGCCATATTCCCTTCTCATGGCAGCCTTATGATACATGCATTATTAGCTCCATTTTATGGTCAAGTTAACAGCCAATTAGGGGGTTAAATAACTTGGCCAAGGCCTTCAAAACAGGCCAGGACTCAAATCTGATTTTTCTGTGCCCTTACCAGTATGTTATGGGGCACTAATTATTCCTTAAGACTCTATAAGAACTTAAAGCTTATGAATCTTTGGCTCTTCACTGAAAAACCCTAAAAACAGTGAACAAAGATATGGAAATACCTATTTGGGCAAATTATCTAAAATGTTATGTCATGCTTTACACAGCTGGTCAATTGGTAATACTTCATTGCTCAAATTTTGCAGTATATTAAGTCTGAATCTTAGATGAAATCTTTCTATTTAAGAATGACACACTTAAAAGATAAGTTTGAAGCTTGATATGGTGGCTCATACTTGTAATTCATATTTGGCTAGAGCAAATAACTTTCAAAGTTTGACAAGGACCCACATCAATGCGTACCATACTACAAGGTTACAAACAAATACTCATAATACAATTATTTCAACAACGAATGTTGCATCTTATTGTCTTCATTTATTTTAATGATAGTGGCAGTCCACTTCACTGAATTTCACTAATGGGTGAAATTCAATGGGTGTTTTTCAACTATAGTTGAAAAACAATGAAGTGGACACTAGAATATAAGGCCTTTGGCTTTAAGCAGCCCCTTCCATTATCCTTCTTGGTCCAAAAATATTTTATGTGTTTGTCATGAAAAGCACTGACTTTCAAAACTCAGGGGTAACACACAAATTCTTCCCTACATACAAATAAGAGAGAGAGTGGGGAGGGAAGGGCAAAGACTGGACAAGGAAGAAGGGGGAAGGGGAGAGAAGAAGAAGAAAGGAAAGGGAAGGGTTGAGGGGGGAAGACTCTTGCCAGGTTGGGATGAAGGGGAGGGAGGTAGGAAAGAGAAATAGGAGAGTAGAGGAAAGTTATCAAAAAGGAAATTAAAATACCAGTTTTGCCTAGACACCCCAAAGCAATGTTCTAACTTTGGTAAACTAGACCCTTTGGCTTAAGGCCTAAAGAGGGCTCTCTCTTCCCCAATCAACCAAACAGAAATTTACCACCAGCATACTGAGGGCACATGCTTAGGGCACTAAGCAGTAAGAACTCTCAAAGACTTTTGTAAGAGAACTAGAGTACAAGACTACTACTGGGCCTGGCCAAATATGGAGCACTTTGCATATTTTACTTAAGAGGGCACAGAGAGAGAAGAGAACTGTAAAATGTGGTCCAATTTGATTACTATCTGCTTTTCTTAGAAATGAGTACCATAGAATACAGAAAGAATTAGGAAGAAAAACACTTTCCCACCCCCAACAGAGACAAATTCCAACAAGTAAAATTACTGAATCAAAAGGCAAAAATGTTCGAGACTCTAGCTACCTTTTACAAAATTCTTATTCTTAAAGGTTATATCTATTTACCAAGCAGCACAATGACTGCACCCATCCCATTATATTCCACATGTAGTAATTTCTCTTTAAAAACTTTAATGAACATGATAGATTAAAAAAGAGAAAGGGAAAAAAACAGCCATCTCATTAATTTCTTTCACTTCTCTTTTATTCATTCAACAATTGTTTATTGAGCTCTTCTAGATGCTGGGTATTACTCTTCTGTTGTCAGAACTTCAGAGTCTAATGGAGGAGAAAAGCAACAGAAAAGTTAAACAGATAATTCCAAAAAGTGAAGTGCAATGAAGGAAATAAGCAGGATGCAATACAGACAGAAACTCATTTAGATTGAGTAGTTCAAAAAGACCCCACTGAGGTGGTATCATAAACTGAGTCTTAAAGCATGACTAACTCATGCAAAAGAACTAATAGTATGGACAAAAGTTCTAAGATACAAAAGAACAGTATTTTCATTTAATTGAATATTTTATTCCATGGCAAACTAGTGAGGCCAACCACTTTCTAGAGTGTTAACCACTTATATTTTTAAGTCTATGCATGCAGAAGTTACTCATTTAAGTCAGTGTTTTACTACATAAAGTCTATTATTAGTCCATTTCTTTGCTTTTCCTATTACATTAATCTGCAGCTTTATTTATGTTATTTGATATGAAGTCAATTTTATTTCTTAGGCAGTTAAACTTACTGATTTTGTCACTGTGATTTTCTTCCCCTACTCTAGATACCATGTGCACCTTTTCAGGGGGAAGAGGGTTTTGCTGGAGATCCAAACCAAGATCTTTTGTATGCTAAGCAAGTGCTCTGCCACTGAGCTATACCTTAGCCCTAATGTAACTATTTACTACCTATGTTTTATGATAGGAATTTCACATTTAATTCTTTTATCCACCTGAAATTTATTCTGGAATAGGAAAAAGTTCCTTTTTTTTTTTTTAATTTATTGGCTCTGCCAGGGTTTGAACTCAGGCCCTTGCACTTGCTAGGCAGGCACTCTACAATCCGAACCACGCCCTCAGTTCTTTTTCAGTTTATTTTTCAATAGGGTTTCCCGGACCATGATCCTCCTATTTATGTCTCCCACATAGCTGAGATGACAGGCAGAGGCCACCATGCCACCACACCCAGCTTACTGGTTGAGATAAAGGTCTTGCTAATTTTTTGCCCATTGCCTCAATCCTACCGTCTCCCGGTTCCTTCATAGCTGGGATTACCCACTGTATCTTGTAATTTATAGTTCTTATGTCAGTACCATGTATTAGCAGGACTACTTGAGATTGTATTTCATTAACCTTCTCAAAAAAGTTTTACCTAATCTCCCTATTAATTTATTCAAATGAAGCCTACTTAGAATAGTGGTTCTCCGCCTTAGCGTCACATTGCAACCACACTGGAGCTTTAACCTTCAATATACTAGAAAGAACTATTCAATCTCAATGAACTATCAGGGTACAAAGAATCCCATGTATTTATTTTTTAATGTATCTTAAGTCATTTGTAAACCAATATACCTATATAAAACAACAGGGAGAATAAAAAAAAAACTTTAAGAAAAAGTTTTATGAAAACTTATGGGCTGGCTGAATGACTCAAGTGGTAGAGTACCTGCCTAGCAAGCATGAGCCCTGAGTTCAAACCCCAGTCCCACCAAAAACAAACAAACAAAAAACTAATTTTGCCAGGCGCCAGTGGCTCATGCCTGTAATCCTACTACTCAGGAGGCAAGATCAGGAGGATCACAGTTCAAAGCCAGGACAGGCAAATAGTTCTCAAGACCCTATTTCAAAAAAAAGCCATCACAAAAAAGGGCTGATGGAGTGGCTCAAGGTGTAGGCCCTAAGTTCAAACCCCAGTACTACACACACACACACACAAATCTTTACAAAAATTTAAACACAGCAAAGTTTTACTCTATCCTTTTCTGTATTAAATAATACGTATGTAACAGTATATATGTGCATATATACACATGTATATACATACATGTATCTAAAATAGGCAACATCCTATGAATGCAAATATCTGCTCATAACTATCATGTTCTACTTTTTTTTTTCAGTACTGGGGCTTGAACTCTGGGCCTCACGCTTGCTAGGCAGGTGTTCTACCACTTGAGTCGCTGCACCAGCCCCAAAATATTTTAAATGAAAGCTTAAACCAAAGACTAAAGAAGGTATCTCAATACAGCTTCTGTATCTTTTTTTTTTTTTTTTTTTTTGGTGGGAGTGGGGTTTGAACTCATGGCTTCTTGCTTACAAAGGGCTACTCTACTGCTGGAGCCATACCTCCAGTGCATTTTGCTCTTATTTTAGAGATGGGGTCTCACTATAAGCTGGGGTTATCCCAATCTTCCAGGTCTCAACCTCTCAAATAGCTAGGATCATAGGTGTGAGCCACTGGCACCTGGCCTTTTAATCTTCTTGAAAAAGCATGCAATACTCTGGACAGTACAGTATGAAAAAAGAAAGAAAAGAGAAATATCATCATTACATCATCTTTCTAGGCAATTCCATCAGTCTTTCCATTTTCTTCTTTTTAAAGAATAATGATAAAGTAATTCCTAAAATAGAACAGCAAAATGCTTCAAGATAAAAGAAAAGCAAGGTCACTAAGACTGTGGGGGTTGGGGTGGGAGGGGTTGCAAGGAATCGGGAATCCTACAGGAAATAACACACTGGGAGTGAAAAAGGGTCACTAGCAAGAGCCCTGACACCAGAAAAATTACTCTTCCTCCAAGAGAAAGACTACCTTCATATGCGTATTTCCTCCTTTTGTTTCACTGCTTAGGGTCTAACAAGTGCCAGGTCCTGAGTTCAAACTCCAGTGGCATCAAAAAAAGGAGGGGGATGGGTGGGAGACTTAGCTCAGTGGAAGAGCGACTGCCTGGCAAGTACAAGGTCCTAAGTTTAGTCCCCAGAACCGAAAAAAAGCACAAAAAGTCTAGCATGTTGGCACACACCTGTAGTTGTTCCAGGTATATCAGAGTGTAGGAAGATAGTGTTCCAAGGCCAGCTAAGACAAAAGCATGCAAGATCCTATCTGCAGAAAAAAACAAAAACAAAACGAACAAAAAAACAGTAAGAGCAAAAAGGGCCGGGGACATAGTTCAACTGAGGCCCTAAATTCAATCCCCACTATCCAAGAAAACAAAACAAAACCCTATCAAGTTTTCCGATTGACATTCTTTAACTTACCTTCTTTTCCCACATTTATTCATAGTTAAAATGTTAAGAACTACAGCAAATAGAGTATCTTTTATGAAGTCAACTTTTACACCAATTTAAAATGAGCAAAGGCTTCAAGTTATCTCCTTCACAACTGCAGACAAGAATTGCATACAAATTGTTCAAGCTCTCTCTAGTCTTTTCATAACACCTTGCTTTTAGAGTAGTGTGTTCTTCAGTGGAGTGTCTACCACCTGTTAAAAATGTAACACGAGAGGAGAGAAAAACGTTTTTTTAAAAAGACAAAGAATCTTATTTACAATTGAGAAGAGACCTTACTGTCAAGTCTACTATGCCCCAGTTCTTGTTACTGAAAATCAATACTTATCTCATCCTTACACATGTTTAAACTGAAAACTCATCTAAGTTATTTCTTACACATACCCATGACATCTGATATCAGTCAGCTTCAGTATTCAAATTCAACTGTGCATTATAGTGGAGAAAATCAATGAACTGTGAACAAAAAGACCTGGATTATAATCCTGACTCAGACACCAAATAAGTGATTTCACACAAATTACTTAACTGAACTTAAATTAAAAAACAAAAAAAAAGCAACAGCAGCAGTCTTGAATAATCAATAAGATCTTTTCTACCTTTAAAATGAGTCTTCGATAGTAAATGGGTCATATTTCTGACTTACTACAAGTCTTACTTTTTTTCACTTTATAGAAAACACAAAAGTAAAGGGAAAGAACAATAAGAAAAGGAAGAAAGAGGAAGACAAATGATAGGGCTAGGAGTATACCTCAGTGGTAGGAAACCCTGGGTTCAATCCCCACCATCCCATCCCCAAGAAAAAAATTGGGATGGGGGTGCAGCTCAGCAGTAAAGTGCTTGCCTACCATGTATAAGGCTCTGGGTACCGTCTCCAACACAACAAAAAGAAAAAAAATTAGCAACTAAGTACCAGAGGTACATCTTCCCTGGACAGATGTACAGTACTGGTCAACACAAAGCACAGCTCTTGCTCCACAGGAGGTAAGAGTTTATTTTGAGTCAAATATGAGTGACCCTGGTCCAGTAAAGGGATTCAGGTTACCCTAAATAACAAGTTCCACTGCAGAAGAGGTCACATGAACTTTTATAGTCATAGAACAACAATAACAAAAAAAAAATTATAAATCAATGCATTTGCCAAATATACTGGTTGAAGATTACAGGTAGGTGGATTTTAGGGGAGTATCTCTTCTGTACGTTTCAGACATTATCTCGTAACATTCTTAACTTCAGAGTTGATGGAAGGTAGTGGTCAACTAAGTTGAACAACACAATCCAAAAGTCTTACCTAAGTCACAAACATGTCAGGTCAGATACAGAGGTCAGCAATAAATAGATACTTGGGGACTAAAAATACTCTAAAATAATCTTGGCTATCTGCAAAATTCCATCTCTCCACAACCACAAAGTTCTGATCAGTTAATTGGTCTACAGAATCTTCAACACAGGTACTGAGGCAGGCAAGGAGTAGGGAAAGTTCGGGATTCATATGCAGGTTGCCCAGGAATAGCCCAGATCACCCACCTAGCCAGGAACCACCCATGGTCCTCCCCATTCATTGATTATTGGATGGGAATCTCCTCGTTCCTCCCTTCCCATAGGTTAGTGTAAGTTAGTGTAAGTATTAGTATTTCTCTTTCCCTAATATTTAATAAACTCTCTTAACACCCATATGTCCCACCACAGATTCTTCCTAGTGGGTCACAAAGAATTTGGAAGTCTGATCATAAGACTGTACCAGCGCCCTTAACAATGTAACTCCTTCAGAATGTCAGTATACATATTAGAGCAAACTACTCACTCTCAATGTGTCTAAGTCAACAAACAAATATTCTGAGTGCCTACCATTTGCTGGATGCAACAGTTTTTACTGTAACTAGTAACAACATAATAATCAAAGAATTCTAGGTAAGAGTCTAAATAAAATAATAGGATAATAAAACAAGGAAATAGTTGAAAAGTCAGCAACTTAAATTTGGAATTTTGGTAAATTCTTCTTATTCCATCAACAAAAAGAGACAAAATTTCTCTGTCCCTTTCTACTAGGGTTTCTGCCACATGGCAAACCAATTATATACTATGTGTTATATAAATCAGTAGTTTTAAATGGGACAGGTTAATCTCTTAGGTAAGGAAAAAAAGGAACAAACTTTCATATTTCATGCTTAAACCTATTAAAGTTAAATTAAGAACAAGTGACTTCAAATTTCTGAACCACATATAGAAAAAAAGCTGTAATTATTTTTTAAAATCTTTCCTTGACACCAAGTATGGCTATTACAGAATAATTTGACCTATTTTACAATCTCAGCCAAGAAAGGGAAAAAAAAAAAAAACCACACTGAATCAACACCTACATGTGCTAGGCACATCTACATTTTACTCTTTCATTTAACAATGTGAAATGAAATTACATCAATTTTACAAAAAATAAATTGAGTTATGAACTAGTAAAGCAATTTTCCTATGGCTTCACAGCTAGCCCCCACCTTTAATCTATGTTCTTTTCATTATTCCTTACTACCTTCAGAAATAAACATTCCAGAAATATTTCACTCTTTGGACCTTTGTTATATATTTGAGAAAAGCCATTGTCAAGAGGAAAAGAAAGTTTTAAACAGAGGCCAACAGGCCTGCTTATTTCAAACCGATTTGAGGCTCTGGAAAACAAGATCACTTCCTACAACTTTGTATTAGCAACAGCCCTACAGCAACACTCACATACACGTCACCAATGTACATGGAATTGAGTATGATCAGCAGTCAAAAGTGACAACAACTTTCTAATCTGATGACTTGTTCTAGTTCAAAATGATTCTTCAAATACCGAAAGAAAGCAAAAAGTAAAACTCTGGCTAACAGAGTGTCAGTAAAGGCAGTTTCAAATAGGTTAGGTTTGATAGAGAAACCCATCATGGTTTGTAAGAACAAGTCTTACAAGTTGAGGGGTTTAGAAAATTAATTTAGAAAACAAGGAACAACCACATTGGGAGAGTCAAATAAATAAATCAGGTCTTTAGAAAATGAAGAAGAATATGGACCCAAGTTCCTCAACAAGTCCTCTAAGTCTTCACTATTTAAGTCATTCCCACATAAGGCAAGATTAATATTCTTTAACCATAGTTATGATCAGGCAACTATTCAAAAATCAGATTTAAATCCAAAATCCTAACTTGGTGTTCAAAGCCTTTCACAGTCAAGTCCTAGCAATATTATAGACTATCTTCATGATTTCACCTCTTTCTGTATTCTCTGTTATAGTTAAACCAAACTACTATTTCTAATACCCTGTAAATTTCCTTCCTTACCTCTAAATTTAAAATGTTCTCCCTCTCTTGCTCTTGTCTATTTGCTAAAACCTCACCAGTCTCTCAAGAGACAGTTTAATAACTTAACTGCGAGATACTGTTCATCTTTAAACTCTCACACCATTTCATTTGTGCCACAACATCATTTCCTGTATCTATATATTCCCAACAGCACCTGCAAAAATGCTTGCATATACAAGCGAGCACTCTTCACTGAGCTTTATATGATCAGCAGTGAGAAGTGACAGTAGCTTCTCAATCTGGGACTGGCTGAAAACCAACGACTTCACTTTTAATATCTAATAATTTTTACAGAAAACAGGAACCACACTCTACCCACTAAATGTTTCACTAGATCTGCAGTTTTTAAACTTATAAGCAAATGATACAGTCCAGTTAACTACATCTTAACCATGGATTTTAAGTATTGAACATGGAAGATCCTGATTTAAAAAAAAAAACTCAATGCCATGATAATATACATATATAAGTAATTTTTTCCTCTCTCAAGAAACACAGCTGTTCAGTAAATAAAAAATGATGATGTGTGCAATTTTCATCACCAACAAAATTCAGATAAAAAAAAAGCATCATTTCAAAAACTTTGTATAGAGACAGCAGTCCAATGCTAACAGTTGTAAAGAAAGCACTGAATAACATTTGAAAAATAAAGCTGGTAAGCTAGGTGGTAGGCTATATAAGCCTATTTACTCAAGAGGCTGAGATCTAAAGGAGTACAGTTCCAGGCCACCTGAGGCAAGAAGTTTGCAAGACCCAATCTCAACCAATGCCTGACATGGGGGTGCCTACCTATCATCCCAATATGGTCTGTTGCCCCAACTACATGGGAAAGCACAAATAGGAGGATCATGGTCCAGGCCTCCCAGGCATAAAGTGAAATCCTATCTCAAAAATAAACAACATAAAAAGGGCTGGTGGCTAAAGTGGTAGAGCACCTGCCTAGCAAGGGGCTAGCAAGGAGCCCTGAGCCCCTCAGTACAGAAAGAGAGAGAGAGAAAGCTGGTACACCTCAACTAAAGTACTATGGAGTTGGTTATTACATCATATTCCTAACAAATTTTCTTCAGTATCATTCAAAATAGTTACGAACTGTTCACTACATTCAAGGTTTTATGTTTGGTAGGAAAACACAATGAACCAGACACCGAGAATTAAGATACATACCACAAGCAAAGCACCAGTGGCTCACCTGCAATCCTAGCTCTGGAGGATTGTGATTCCGGGCCAGTACTGGCAAAAAAAAGTTTGCAATACCCCCATTTCAGTGGAAAAAAACTGGCACAGTGGCACGCACCTGTCAACCCAGTGACAGCTGGAAGCATACAATAGAGAAGGATTGAAATTCAGGCCCGTCTAGGCAAAAAAGCAAGACCCTATTCCAAAACAATCAAAAGCAAAAAGGGCTAAAGGTGTGGCTCAAGTGGTAGAGTGCCTGCTTAGCAAGTGCAAAGCCCTGAGAGGAGTTCAAACCCTAGAGCCACCTCCTCCCAACCACCGCCCCCCCAAAAAGGTATATACCACAGGTTTAATACAAAGCACAATGAGCTAAGTACTATAATAAAAATATCAACAAAGCAATGAGGAAGCAAAAAGGAAAGAGGGCACAGAACAGAGGATGAAGCATTTTATACGTGAAAGAACAAGTGAAATTTCAATAGGCAAAAATAAAGGTAAATTAAAGCCCAAAGCTCTGGGGGTGAATTTGTTCAAAGCACACTGTAGGTACCTATGAAATTATCACAATGAAACCTCCTCATACTAATCAATGTATGCTAATCAAAAAGTAAAATAATCTTTTTTTAAAGTTACATGGTACAGCTGCAGGAGATGTAGGGAGTTATTTAGTGGAGTTGGTGGGGGGAAGTGGAGGGGAGAAAATGACTTATCTAAGAGGCCACCTTGTTGATACAACCTGAGACTTCTTTCTTAAACTTTTAAAAAGAGTGGCCTGATTTGATCTGGATTTTCCTAAGATAACTGTGGAAACAATGAAAGACAAACTGAGAAGAGACTGAAAGCAGGATCCAGTTGTAAAGTTATTGCAAAAGTACTAGGGTAAGTTGCAGCTTGCAACAGAAATAGAAAGGACAGATCAGATTCAGGATTAAAGTGAGTAACTTGGTACTGAAGAGTAAAGCTAAAATTAATCCCCAAGGCTGAGGAGGAAGCTCAGTGGTAGAGTACTTACTTGCCTATTGTACTATAGGCCCTAGGTTTGATTCTCAGCACTGGAAAAATATAAATAAGTAAATAAAGTTAACTCCCAGGGTTAACTAAAACAGAAACAAAACTATTAATAATTTTCAATCAATTACAAGTAGCCAAACGTTTATTGACCACTTGTTCTGCTCTGCTTAAAGCAGTATTAAAAGACAGAAAAGACTCAAAACAAAATCTTTGTGAAGGAAAAAGACAGCTAGACAGACAAGTATAGATAATTCAAGTATGCTTCTTTTTTTTTTTTTTTTCAAGTATGCTTCTATAGCAAAAAGAATGATCGAAGTAACTGACAAAGACAAAACAATGTAAGAAAGGGGTTCGGTATCCTTGTAATTTGCTATAAACTGAACAATACAATTAACTCAAATTTGTGTGCTCAAAATCTAAAACAGCACAGAAGAAACAAATCCAAATCGTTTAAAAAAAAAAAAAAAAGAGCAATGAAGGTCCCAGGGCCAATTGCATTGTTATATAATTTTAAACAAGTGGAACTTCTAGGATCAAATATTAAAGGACTACATATTTAAGCTGGGCCTTAAAGCAAAAGTAGTAGGTCAAACTATCTGTCAAGAGTAGACGATAATACACAAATCTGTTCTCGAAAGAGAAAAATACTGGAGCACAGGCTGGAGGAGGCAAGGTCAAGAGAAGGTATGGTGGCAGAAGAGGTGGCAAGCCGCAAAGACTTCAGATTTTATTAAATAGGCAATGAAAGACAAAAGTTTTTAAATAGGAAAATATTAATACAAAGAAGCAGTAAACAGAATAGGCTGGAGAGAATATGAAGAAGGAAAACTGAAGGCAAGGAAACCAGTCAGAAGAGAATTATAATAGTCTCCAAATGAAAGATAACAAAAGCAAAACACCTTATATGCATGTATGAAAATGTCATAACGAAACCCATTATTTTGTATAATTAATATATGTTAATATTTTTTAAAAGGTAACAAAAACCTAAAGCACAATCATTGACAGCAGAAATGAAAAGGGGAGGGCCTAGGGATGTGACTCTTATCTCAGAGAGGCCCTTATCTTAGCAAGCATGAAGCCCTGAGTACAAACCCCAATAACATCAATACCTAACCACCCATCTCCCCAAAAAAGAAAGAAATGTAAAGGGGAGGTCAAAGGATTACTGAGGAAAAGTTAGTTAGAAATTAACTAAAATACAGATGAAACTTGAGTGTAGGATGACTTCAAAGTTTAAGCATAGCTAGCTTTGTTTCAGGAGTGAGAAGACATCAGTTTGGGACATACTTAAGTCCTTCAGGATATTCACAAGAAAATCATTTGTCAGACAAGTTACCAGGATGAACAAGGAATTCCAAGAAAAGCAGAAAGTTCCAGGACTGCAAGATATTTATTTGGTATTCATCCACCTGATATGCGGAAGACAGAGAGGGCAGAAGACTAAACTCTAGAGCAATATCTACTTTAAAAAGCAAGAATCCAGAGAAGCTAGAATGACAAACAGACGAGAGCAGAAAGCATCTTTTCAATGTGCTTTTACAACTCTCTGAGACTAAGTAACTTGCCGTAAGGTCACAATAACCAGTGCAACATGTGGAAAATCTGACTAATGATAATGTAAGATAATAT